GCTTATTTATGACTGCAGGACAAATGACAGAAAAGAATTAACACACAAGTCAGGATCATGGATTGCAGGACAGGGCTGCTTCTTTTAACTCTCTACTGGACAGGTGAAGGTTTTCACAGATTTTCACATGACAAGAATAAGATTTGTGTTACTGACAGGAATGTGTGCATGTTTATTTTATTTATTTTTTCCTGATTTAACAGGCCTCGATGGTCAGACTTTGACTGAATCTGAACCAGTGGTGAAGAGACCAGGAGAATCTCACAAGCTGACATGTACAGGCTCTGGATTCACATTCAGCAGCTATGAGATGGACTGGATCAGACAGGCTCCTGGAAAAGGACTGGAGTGGATTGCATACATAAGTAACCCCAGTGGAAGCACCCAGTACTATTCTCCATCAGTTCAAGGCCGCTTCACCATTTCTAGAGACAACAGCAAACAGCAGCTGTATCTACAGATGAACAATCTGAAGGCTGAAGATTCTGCGGTTTATTATTGTGCACGGCATCCGCACAGTGACCAAAAATAGTTTGGTAGCTGTACAAAAACAAACTATGCTGATGTTCAAGAGATCTAAACGATCATGGTGTAGAGAAGGAAGATATTTATTTGGACAATATCATCATTTAACTGATTAATATCACAATTTATTCAACTTCAAATGTTCAGTATTGCTGGATTTAAAAACACATCCACAAGCAACAAATTATTCATCAAATCTATGCTGACACAAACAATTAAAGCTGTGTGTGATGGAACATTGTCACAAATTGAAACGCTTGAAGAAGCTTTTTCAGCAGCTTAAAGTAAAAGGCTACTTTCATATAATCATGTTTTTTTTTAGATCAACTTAAAGAAAAACTTTCTCAAATTAGCATTTTTACACAACTGCCTCAGTTTGTTTCTTTTTTCAGCAGTTCTGCTATTTTATTTAGTGAACGGCTTTTGAACATTGTCTTGTTGCACGATCCAATTTTCAACTTGCTCCAGATTTCAAATGCAGGACCATATATTTAGTTCTAGAAAACTTCAGTATACAAAGAGATAATTTTCAACTTAGAATCCAGACCTTGTGATCCCAAGCCCAATAATCTCCACTCCTGTACAGGAAAGCTGCATGAGCCTCATCTGTAAGGACTTTCTCTGCAGCTACTGCACAGCTGGAGTCAGAAACGAAGCAAAACATCTGGAGGGGATTACTGTGAAGTACACTGGAGCTTTATACAGCAAAGATTCATGAGACCAAAAAAAGCTTTGGGACAATTTAAACACCTCTGCCAAAACAGCAACTCCAAATGAACAAATTTGTCCAACCTTAGACATTAGTATTACAATGTGAGGCAGCACACAGTAACAACACATGTACAGAAACCAGTCAGAATAATCTGAATAGTTTCAGGAGAGATGCCCTCACTCCATCAGTTGTCCACTTCATCCTTTCTCTACATCCATCGATGTACCTCATCATATATCTAAGAACAGTTCCAAGTAAGACTGGGAGTTTACCACAGATCTCAGTTCCTCCCTTTTCTCAGGAGGGGTTAATGCAAAACATTTGGCCTTATTTATGCAACTGAAGAGGCTGCCAGAGGACAAACAACATAATTGAGCAAGATGGATCATAGATTAGAACTGCTTATTTTTATTATCTGGATGGCAGGTGAGAAAATGCTCATATAACTTGGATCAATCAAGTATCTGCAAACAGAGATTTGCCTTAATGATTGTGTTTTCAGGTGCTGATGGTCAGACTCTGACACAGTCTGGATCAGTGAGTAAAGTCCCTGGAGAATCCCACACACTGACCTGTACAGGCTCCGGATTCACATTCAGCAGCCACTGCATGCACTGGATCAGACAGGCTGCTGGGAAAGGACTGGAATGGGTTGCTGAAGATTGTGGCGGCAGTAGCAAGTACTACTCACAGTCAGTCCAAGGTCGGTTCACCATCTCCAGAGACAACGGCAGACAGCAGCTGTATCTGCAGATGAACGGCCTGAGGACTGAAGATTTTGCTGTTTATTACTGCGCTCGAAGAGACACAATGACTAAAGTTGATTCAGTAGCTGTACAAAATCACAAAGGGTCTTCAAAGTCATTTATTCAGTACTTTTATTTCATCTATGAGGAAATCTTCTAGTTCCTTACATTAATTTTAAATTTAAAAAAAGCAAAAAAGGAGAGAAACATTTTTTAAGACTTAATTTTTTTCTAACCAATTGTTACAACCCCACCCTAAAATTCCTAAAGTAAATTCTGGCACTGGGCTTTAACATAAAACTAAAAAGTAATCCGAACAGTTGAGTAACAAAAGTATAATTTATTTTACAATCCAGATAAAAACAACTACTACAGGAGAAAAGAAAACACAGGGGAGCTTAAGACTTCAGGGTCTCCAAGGCCAAAATAATAAACAAAACACCCCCTTATAACTATAAAATAAAACAACCACTTGCTAAAGGAGAACTAAAGGAAAATACAAAACCTAAACTCCCTTACTAACAAAAAACAGGAGAAAACAGGTTATAACAAAAATGGCAGAGAACCCCTACCAGCTTCCACCTCTGGATAATTGTACAAAGTTGCTCACAGCAAACTTAAGACAGTTCACACACACAGCTCTCAAGCAGAGTCACAGCTCATGGCCCAGGTCAAACAAAAGGAGAGGCTCTGGCATCTCCAGCTTGCTGCTTATATATGGCGGCTGACGAGCCCCAACACACTTCACCTGCAGCAATCAGGCAGAGCTGAAACAGAAAACACAGAGCTCTCTCAAAAAAAGAGAGCCCCTAGAGGTCAGTGACCGTAACACCAATTATCACTTTACTATGCACTAAATTACATTTAGTTAAATATGGCACAGATAAGAAGTCTAACTTTGGTCCCAAAATAGTTTATTTGGGGATAAATATGCCACAAATTTATCCAGTGGTTTTATATAGTTCATGTCGTCTTGTAAGACATTGTAAAGACTTAGAGTTATTAAACAACAAGTCTAAGTCACCTAAGTTAACCTCCAGGTATGAGCCAACACAATGAATGAATGAATGAATGAATGGATGGATGGATGGATGGATGGATGGATGGATGGATGGATGGATGGATGGATGGATGGATGGTATTAATCCTTGAAATGTTTTAACTGTTTTTCAACATTATCATGAGAGACATGATTTTTTTGTTTATCTTCCTAAGAGCTTAAGCTAAAAAATGAGCAATATTCATACATGCAACGTTTCCCAATTTTTGATGACTTTCAATATTGAAATGGGATTCATTCCAATATGAATCCTATTGACCCACAAGTGACAGGAAGATGTGGTAAGATAACACAACTCATGTAAACACGAAGACACAAAAACACGCCTCAGAGAGGACAGCTGTCGTTGTGGTTTGTGACTTCCTGACAGGCAGTGGTCATTAAAACTCTAAAATTGCAGTAACATTTTCATTATTTTATTCAATTTAACACAAACTGTGATAAAAGCGTAAAGTGTGAGTGGATGTTTATGCATGTGGCATATAGCAACCCAAAATTAAAGCTCACTTTGATTAAACCACTGCTGACAGTAAAGGCTTGTTTGGTTTTATGCAAACTCACTGAGCTCCTCCTTCCTCTCAGGTATTTATGATTTATATCAGCTGGAAGTGAAGCCACTTCCAAAGCACAACATGTCTCCTTTAGCTCTCCTGCTGCTGTTGGCAGCTGGATCCTGTGAGTAACTCTGCATTTGTCATAACCAGCAGATCTATTTTATCACTGTCACTAAGACATGTTTTTCAACCAACAGGTGTGATTTGTGAACAGCTGACACAGCCGGACTCTGTAAACGTGCATCCGGGTCAACCTGGTGGCTCCGACAGGCGGCAGGGAAAGGACTGGAGTGGTTTGGACGCAGAGTTGGCTCAACTACGTCCTACAAAGATTCACTGAAAAATAAGTTCAGCATTGACATAGACTCATCCAGCAACACAGTGACTCTTAAAGGCCAGAACATGCAGCCTGAAGACACCGCTGTGTATTTCTGTGCAAGAGACCGCACCATAACACAAAGCATCAGACGACCAGACAAAAACCCCCGAGGCCTTAGAGACACCAGAGGGGGAGCCGTCGTACTGCGAATAAACCAATGCATGCCTCCACTAAGAAAAATTAGAAAAGAAACGATATAACATATGAAAACTGTAAACATTTACAGCCATATAATTTGTTGATTAAAAAGAAACATACAAATAAGTTAACGTCTTTCAAACAGTTTGTCTTTTGGTGCAAAATTTGCTTTTGGTTTTTTCTTGTTATAGAGATGATTTACAGTGGGAGTGCTATGGCTGTAGGCTTTAAACAACCCTTTTACTTATGTAAAGGAAATATTTGACTTGACAAAGTTACATAATGTTAAAAAGGTTTTCAAAATTAAGGTTCCATTCATGAAGTTGAGTTTTTGACTTCAGAATCAAAATAACACGTAAATATGACTTAGACAATGCTTTTTATTGTATGGTTTTAACAAATAATGCTGTCATAAATAAATAAGAAATATTTTAAGGCATGAATTGCATCACTATTTTTTTATATTTTTTTTTATATTTTCCCAATATGCCCATTTAAATTGTAGTTTAAAAAAATATATGTTGTTTTTTTTAACTACTTTTACAGGTTTTTATCTTATATGATCTGATCTGACCTTTGAGTATCTATTTGCAAACAGAAGAAACAGTAAATACTAATGGTACTTACAATATCTAGCAATCTCTAAGTCTCAAATGCTCAGTAAGACGTCCTTTACGACACTTAAATTATAAAAAGCATGTTTTCTTATATGCGTTAGTTTGAGATATAATTTGAAAAATGGCATACAAGTCTTGAACAATCTTTTATTTTTATAGCTGCAAGGTTTCACATTTATTTATATTTTCAAATTGACAGCATTTATTTGTTTTGTTGTTTGCCAGAAAATGTTTGAGTACAGTGACCAAACTAAATATCACTGCCTTAATCACCTATAAGCTACGCATAAACTAAAGTCTGTTCACCTTCTTTGTTTGGCTTTGGGAGGAGTTAATGCAAAATGTAAATCTGTTCTGCCTCTACTTATTTGACCATGAAATATTTGGCAGAGAACAGAAAACTGAGGCAGACATGATGGACTTGAGGGCACAATTGTTGCTTATTTTTATTTTATGTGCAGGTAAAGAATATGACTGACGTGTGTTTTATGCTGTTCACCAACTTGCATATATTAACTGTTCCTTGTATTTGACAGGTGCTGATGGTCAAACTCTGACACAGTCTGAATCAGTGATTAAAAGACCTGGAGAATCCCACAAACTGACCTGTACAGGTTCTGGTTTCGCACTCAGCAGCCACTGGATGGACTGGGCCAGACAAGCTCCTGGAAAAGGACTGGAGTGGGTCGCTACTGCAACTCAGAGCAGCCAGTATTACTCTCCATCAGTCCAAGGTCGTTTTCACATCTCCAGGGACAACAACAGACAGCAGGTGTATCTGCAGATGGACAGCCTAAAAACTGAAGATTCTGCGGTTTATTATTGTACTCGAAACTCACAGTGACTGAAGTCGGTTCAAAGCCTGAACATAAACCTACCACTTAAAAAACCTTAATGAGACACACACTTAATATGAACCTAACAGTTACCGCAGTATGTTGGTTAGTATAAAGATGTAGACCAAAAAAACACTTACTCATATATGCTGAAGCCTTTCATTTAGCTCCTGTTTTAAACTTGTTGTATCTGCAAACATTTTTCTTTTTATATCTATCCATCCCTTATCTCCACCCAACTGTCGATGCAGTTTTGAGGTGGAGCTTGTCTCCACCTCCAGTGGTCATCGGTCGAGAGGAGGGGACACCCTAGACACATCACCAGTCCATCATAGGGGAACTCAGAGATACACAATCATGCATAAACACACTCACACCTTGAGGCAATTTAAAGACCTTTTTCATATTCATTAAGCTATAATATATGTGCTCCATTGAGACTTGTTTGTCAGATTAACAGTATCTTAAAGTAGGTATTAAACATATCTTTGCTAAGCCACAATTATGTTTTGTTTTATGTTTCTCCAGCCATCATTGGGTTTGGGGCAGGGTACTTCCTGGACAGATCCTTACCACTGTTCACAGTGGCCTATTATTGCCTATTGTTCAGGTGAAAACTGTTAAAATGAATGTTTTTCTAGATTATCTGTAGCTAAATAGCCAAAAATAAATAATATGTACATATCAATTTAAAATTATTAAATAATAATTAATAACAAATATTCATTATGAATATAGTTTGAGATCAATGAAAATATGTATTAAGTAATTGAGTAAGAAATGTGCTCAATTAAAAGCTATAATTTTGTAGATTTTAATTTGAACTTATTTAATTTTTTAAAATAGTTTTAACAAAAATGTTTTAGTTATTCCATAAAAACGTTAAAGCTTGACAAATAAATAGAAAAAAAATATTAATGATGAACAAAGAATGAACTCTAGTTGTTTATTAAAAATGAACAACTAGAGTTGAGACTACAGCAAAAATGAATAGCAGAATGCACTTGGATCATTGCAAAACAGTAAATTCAGGATATTTTGACTTCAACCTATCGGCATGAAAATGTAGAAGCTGTTGAGTTTCTACTCTGATTATTTAAATGTAATTTACTAAATACATTTTTGCAGTTTTTTTATGTCTATATATAACTTTAGTAATTTATTTTATCCTTTTCTAACTGTTGTGTTGCCCATTTCATTTTAGCTCACATAGCAGATATGACTTTTGACTTGTAATGTGTACAGTAGATGTATAAAACAGTTTTATCCTTTCTGGACTTCAATTTTTATAAGCAACAGACATACAGCATTATACTTTGCACATGTGAAATTTAAACTCATTCAAGCTGATCACAAATTAATGGAAGATCTGTTCAAAAAAAAACATCTTGAAAATAAGAAACAAGATTCTTTTTTACGGTGATAGAAACAGAGTCCATAGCTAAACTAGTTAACAGTTTCAAGGTCCTTCACAAGAAAATATTAACATCTCATGGCAGTTCAATCTTTATCTGATGTTTCTTGCATGTTCAAAATCAGCTGTTGATTCCCTACGAAGGTTTAGAAATAATTATATTTATGCTTAATGGTCAACATGAATAAAAATCTTAGTTTAGCACAATATGCTACAAAAAACATCTCTATCTCCCAGGT